ATTCCTGCTCTAGCAGGCATTTCTCCTGCTGCAACGCATATGTGCCAGAGAGCAGACCCAGGGCTTGGGAGATCTCTTCATTTTGCCATTTACGCTCTATTAAAACAGTCTTGGATCCCAGGCTTGAGGCATGTGTTTGGCAACAGCAAGGTGTGAGCCTTGGTTTCTTTGATTTTTCTTTGATTTTAAAATACAGCTCGCTGGAGGCTTTGCAGAGTCAGGTGTCTGCAGCTGGAGCACAGACCTCCCTGGAGCCCACACCTTGCCAGCCAGTGTCTCAATCTCTCTAAGGGTGCCCGGTGTTGCTTCTGAGCAGGCAACACTGCATCACTTAGAATGATGTGCAAAATAAGCCGCAGAGAAACCCTGCATCACCCTGTACTTTTCTCTTGACTCCCGTGCTCTCTAAGACCCTTCGAGTGATAAGCTGATCTCCAGGGGAAGAAAATTACCATCATTGATCAGAAAATTGTGGCACCTCCGTGATCTCTTTGCTGTAGTTAAATTCCAGGGTGACTGTGCACTAGGTAAAGGGCTGTTTACCTTTGTTTGTTCTAATTTTACCCACCATTCATTTTGGCAGTGGCCGCCTGACCTCAGATTAAATCCTGATACACTCGTGGCAGGAAGTCAGAGCCCCAGTCACAGCTGTGAGGCAGCGGGGAGCCTCGGAGAGAATGGCGGGCACACGGGCCAGGGGTGAGGTCAGCGGTGCCTGCCTTCGGCTCTCAGCGCAGGTAGGAGGAGGGGAGGTAAGGAGGTAGGGTGCCTAGGAGGCGCCCTGAGCCCTCCTCCTGCTCAGGAGGGCAGGAAGAGAAGCCCGTTACTGGTTGGAAGTGCTCTTTATGACTTTCACACAAGAGCCTGGCGTTTACAATCAGCTCTCATCCAATTCCTCCTCCCTTTCCTTCTGCCCCTCCTCGTCAGCCCTAAAGGAAGAGAGACTCCAAGGGAACAGCCCAGAAGTGATAAGATCTTGCAGGGAGTGCACCCGCCCCCAGTTTCCCCCTCTAGCTGCCAACCTCGCCACGTCCAACACACAGGCACACCCCCTACAGATGCCTACACACACTCATGGATGCTCTGGAAATACAGGAAGGCCAACCAAATGAGAACAAACCAAATGGCAAAGGCCATTTATCGAGAGCTTGCTACAGCAAGGGAGTCAGCCACCATCACTTCATTACGCAGAAACTCGAAGTCTAGCAGAGGAGTGGGAAAGCTCTACAGTGGAAAAAACAGGAGGCTTTGTCGCCCTGATGGGAGCCGTTGGCATGGGGAACTAGAAGCCAGTTCTAGTGACTGGTTCCAGTGATTGGTTAGGGGGTACATATCTGGCTTCTCCTAAATTGGAAGCAGAGGGATAATTAGGGGCCACTCTTACAGGGATTGTTGCTCAGTTTCTTGGACCAGTTGCTAGAGGTAAGGTCTGAGTTCTGTTTTCATGTACATATATATGCCCTGGCTGTGGTCTGTATACAGTCTCTCAACACCCACCCACACGAACACTCACATACTCATAAATGTACATGCACGCTCACATGCACACACACAAACTCACACTGACACACTTGCACACACTTTCTGGGGCTCCTTTCTCTGTCTAAATGCTAGCTGGTAGTAATTAAAGACTCTGCACTGTCTGCTTAACAAGGGGGTAGGCCCTCAGACAATGTAATAGTAACATCAGATCACTCTAAAGCCAGCTAGGAGGGTACAGGTTAAGGTCCCAGGGTCTAAAGGAGTGCCCAGAGAGATGAGTGGGCAGGGCAGGGGCTGGGGCAGAACTCCAGAGCATTCAGGGAATCCCAGCCAGGAGAGGGCCTGACAGCACTTCCACTGTGTCTTAGTTAGCTGGGCTGCCATGCAGAATACCATAGACTGGGCAGCTTAAACAACAGACACATTTTCTCATAGTTCAGAGGCTGGAATTCCAAGATCAGAGGCCAGCACATCGAGTCCTGGTGAGGACCCCCTTCCTGATCTGTAGACGGCTACCTTCTTACTGGGTCCTCACACAGCACAGAGACAGAGCGAGCTCTCTGGCATATCTTCTCACAAGGACACTAATGTCATCGTAAGGGCCTCACCATAACAACCCCATCTAATCCTAATCACCCCCCAAAGGCCCCGTCTCCAAATACCACCATATGGGAGGTTAGGGCTTCCAATCTGAATTTGGTGGGACATGAGCATTCAGTCTTTAGCACACTGCCTTTGAAGCTGGGAGTCCACACTGCCAGGTTCATCTTGACCAGCCCCTGTGACTCATCAGAACCCTCAGTGGCTCTGTCCCTGCATCCTGG